GATTTTAAGAATTTCTTCATAAGATACAAATACTTTTTCCATTTTTTAAAAATTTAATTTTAAAAATTTATAAAAAATATCCATATGAAATGAAGTGTCATGTAAACCCTTGTGATGATTGACATAAATTTGATATCATTCTGTAATTATTATATCATACGTTAGGTCACGATGTACGTAATATAAAGCAATATTATATAAAGACGTGTATTTTTGAAGAGAAATAAATTCATCTGAAGCCAGTGATGAGACAGAGCGATAATTATCTTTACTTTGGATTTAGGAACAACAGTTCACCAAGTACACTATTTTTTCACCCAAAATAGTGGATAATTTAATGCACATATGTTGAATTTTATCTGAAAATTTAAGACACATTTTTACAAAAACTTCCAGAAGATTGTATATGATGCGTATACATACATATAACAGATTTATATCTGTATATATACGCACATATATATTAAAATATGTCAACAAATCTGCATACAAAAATATATATATATATATATATATATATATATATATATATATATATATATATAGATAGATAGATAGATAGATAGATAGATAGATACACATTTTAAGTAAATAATATATATATATATTATTTACTTAAATATGTGTATCTATAAAAGAACGTATAAATATAAAAAATGTTTTAAAATAATTATCGGACTTTTTGTCCATTTCATAATATATATATATATATATATATATATATATATATATATATATATATATATATAATAGCATAATCTATCTATTTCGCTGTATATCTATTATCTATTATAATTTACCTATCTATAGGTATGTATATTATTTGTACATTTTGTCATGTCTATAAGTTTTTCATTTATATAAAAAATAACATTTTTATTTAGTTTCGAAGTTTGTCATGAAACTGTCTGAAAATGGTAAATAAATATGTATACATGTTGTATGCTTTATATATATATATATATATATATATATATATATATATATATATATATATATATATATATATATGCATCTATATATATGTGTGTGTGCATGCGTATATAAACTGAATACACATATACATGTATACACATGATAAATGACGGAAAATGTAGAGAAATTATTTTTAAAAGGTAGATAATTGTTTTGGCAAAAACAATAAAAGAATTGTTTTGTATTGAAAGGATGAAATCTTATGGCTATACTGAAGAAAATGTTCCGTTAAACTAAAACATCAACCTTTTGCTCACGTTCTAGAAAACAATTTTTATCTTATAAGATACAACTTGTTCTTACATATTGTAAAAAGTTACGCCATTTTCATCGCTATCAACATGGTCATTGTTATTATTATTATTATTATTTATGTATAATATTCACCGAATTTTAATTTCTATATTAGATTCAAGACCTGATATTTTTTATAGATAAAATGACAAGTTCTACCAAATATGTCAGTTCCATCTATCTATCTATCTATATATATATATATATATATATATATATATATATATATATATATATATTGATAAAATGCGGATCAACCATTTACGCTACCGTGGTTTCAACTATGGTTGCGTAAGTGGCTGATGTTCTTATTTTAAAAGCTCTGCGCATTCGGCTTTTTCAATTGTGTAACGAAAAACGTTTACTGGTCTAATTTAATTCTGACCAACAACTGTTTAACCAACAACTGTTTTATATATATATATATATATATATATATATATATATATATATATATATATGTGTGTGTGTGTGTGTCTGCGTGTATATATATATATCTGTGTGTATACACGTTTTATACACATGCGTGCATGTATATATATATACACTCACGCAGGCACACACACACATAAACACACATACACACACACACACACACACATATATATATATATATATATATGTATATATATATATACGTGTCTCTCCTGTAATGTCTTCGCACCAAGATGACATTCCATATAAATTTTAATACATGGTCATTTAATCTTATTCTTAGATCTGATCGGACCGAAAATTTTCGGTACTCCTCGTATCAGTAATATATATATATATATATATATATATATATATATATATATATATATGTATTTTATTTTACTTACCTGGTTTTCTTGGGGTGACAACCTTGAAGGCACTTCGGTGCTCGTTGTCGTTTCCCCTCCCTCTTCGGTACCATCGCTTGAAAGTTTCTTACTTTCACCAAAAAGGACCGGGGCATGATTTTTCGTCGCAAATCGGTAATTTTGGGCTCCACACAAATGGCGGTAATTTTCTTTAAAATGGCTAAATGTTGACTTTTTAAACCAATTCTTTTATGCGTATGTGTGCGTATATATATATAAAGATATATATATGCAATTACTTTTCCTGTGTCTCCTTCTTTTCCAATTCGTTCTCTTCATTTAATTTTCTTTTTATATATATATATTTTATATATATATATATATATATATATATATGTATATATGTATATATATATATGTGTGTGTATGTGTGCGTGTGTGTGCGTGTATCTGTGTATATATATATATATATATATTTATTTTCCCTTCTGCTTGTAAAGATTGTGTTTTAAGTTCCGTCAGTTCGTGTCCGCTCTCCTGTTTCTTCTGTAAATTTGAAAAGGCAGTTGGTTATGTACAAAGGCGCAAAGCCCGGCAGTGGCACACGCGCCCGATTAACATGGCAAAAATCCTTTCTCGCTTCACTGAACCTTGGCGCGACTAACTACATAAGTAAATAAATAAATATATGGATACGTGTTTCTCTTATTTATGTAGCTTTTCCTTTGTATTGTATTAAAATCAAAAGGTAATACATAATAAATGCATATATAGGTATTGATATAAAAATATACATATATATATACACACATGTATATGTGTATATATATATATACACATATACAATAATGAAATTGAAATGCTAGGGATGTACGAATATCTATGCTTGTGCGCGCATGCGTACACACATTTATATGTGAGGGCGTACATGTAAAGGAAAGGATATTTACATATTCATAAGTACGAGCCTTTTACTTATTGGTTTAATTAATATCCTTGCTTGTACATGGTTGTGCTTATTAATCAGATAATATATTCAATACGATATTACATCATCATATCAATAATACAGACACGTATACGTAAATAATTTGGCTTGTTATGCTAAGTGTTTATATCACCCCTAAATTAATGCTTACTTACGTGTAAATTTCTTGTAAAAATCATTTTTCGCTGTTTGAGCGAACGAAAATTTACAAATAAATGTATATATATAAAAGTCTCAAGTAACAGATAGTCTATGCTTCTCCATGAAGTGAGGGTGTTTTTATGCATATGTATACGTGTCCCACTCTGTAGGTGTGTGTGTGTGTATATATATATATGTATGTACGTGTATGTGGGGGGGATATTCCTCTTTCGGTGTGTATGTGTGAGTGCGATAAAAGACGCGCGAACGGTGGACAGTACACGAGAGTCTGAACCTCAGCGCGCTCTTCTTTTCACCAAGGCTCTTCCTGAATAACACATCAGAAGAACCTCAGCTCCTTCACTTACTTCCGACAGAACGCTGGTGATGGTGGTGGAGGTGGTGGTGGGAGTAGAAAGAGGAGGAACAGAGAGAGAAAGAGAGAGGGTGTGTTTAGAAAAAAAAAAGAGGGTGTTAGACAAATGCAGTGACAGAGAGTGGTAAGAGAAAGATCAGAGGTAGGAGGGAGTTAGACACGGAGGTGGTGATTATTGCATAGCAGTTAGTGCACCGTTACGGGCAGATGAAGAAGCCAAGGGATGTACAAAAGGCGGAGACATTTAAAACGGAGGGCGGGGCTGTAGACATTTTCAAGGCGAGCGGTGGTGGTGTGTATACTGTACACGAGGAAAGGTGGCGTGTGGAGAAGTGGAAGAGAAATATAAATAATTTGACAGCGAACAACTTAAATAAAGAGATAAACGTATGACACAATCATGATCAATGGCCTCTTTCAAAACTTCTAAATCCCTACACACTTTTTTTATTAACCCTTACCAGATCAATTTTTTCCACCCAATGTGTCATTTTCGAACATATTCTTTTTTTGTTTATAAAGAGATTGTAATATAAGTAGTATAAATAATTTTCTTTTGCCAGTTTTTCTTTTCTTTTTTTTTCTTTTTTTCTGCACGACACCGAATATGAAATCAAGATCATGTACACACTCAAGGATTTTTTTACGGTTGTGTACGACAGGCAAAAAGAAAAATATGTAAATCACCAAGAATATATATATATATATATATATATATATATATATATTATATTTATATTTATATATATATATATATATATATATAGAGAGAGAGAGAGAGGGAGGAGAGAAAGAGAGAGAGAAAGAGAAAGAGAGAGAGAAGGAGTATATCTGTAGAAGAGAAAAAAATCAATGAAAAGACAAAAAGAAAACCCGTTGAATTACGAAACACGTCGAGTAAATAAGTATAGTTTTCCTCTTGTTTTTTATTCATATATATATATATATATATATATATAGACAGAGAGAGAGAGGACATGGGCATATGATTCAACATTGCATGGAGACTGTCAGCTTCACGGCCTAGTGTGATCTTCCGACAAAGCATTTCATGATTTTCTTTGAAAAGAGAATTATGCTATAGACATAGTTTGCAATTCTATTTATAGGGAAATAGCGTCTCTTATTGATGCTCGTGTCATTATCGTATTAAGGCGTGAAACTGATAGTCACCATGCAGTGTTGATTCTTTTGCCCACATTGTATCACCCTCACTTTCTTTCTCTTTCTCTCTCTCCATATATATATATATATATATGTGTGTGTGTGTGTGTGTGTGTGTGTGTATGTGTGTGTGTGTTTGTGTGTAAAGGTAAAAGACAATAGGAAAACTGTATTATTAGCGGACGCGTTTCGTTCAATCTGTAGGTTTTCAAGGCAAAAATGATTGTTATGTTTTATACATATCATCTTTTTCTACAGGTAAACCCTGAGAAATCTTTCAGATAGATAGATAGATAGATAGATAGATATTCAATGAAGTTTTCCGCTTAATACCAACCCTATGTTATCACCAATCTAGTGAAATTGATACTGTCGGGGTTAAGAAATTCTTGATAGACTTATTCTTATTCTCAAATTGAACAGAATGCTTAAATACTTTTGCTTCCGTTCAAAATCAAAAGCCATTTCATAAACGAAACAAATCTTGATAGTCTGGAAATAATAAACTCATTTTAAAAACGCCTACACTCGTGATAATCCATTCAGTAATGAATTCTGCATGATAATTTTATTGTATTATAAAACGTATTATAGAATCAGACGTTCGCCTGTTTTGTGGGTGAGGTACTATGATATGTGCTGGCCCGTGTCTTCTGCTGACTTGTCGTCAGCCTGTCGGGCTAAAATCTCCCGAATAATTCTCAGCACACATCTGTTACTGAGGCGGAACAATAGAGTGAAGAGGACGACATTGTATATCCAACAGTATATGAGGTGACATAAGGGTTAGCATTACTGAAGACCTCCAGGGAAGTTGTTGGCGCGTGCTTTGTGGGTGTGTGAATGTGTAAGCATTTAAAAAAAAAAAAGAAAATAAAAACCTTTGTTTACCTCTTTGATGTTGAGAGCTTTCTACTGGAGTGAGGCGAATTTTACAAGCAAATAATAACAAACTACCATAGTGAAACCGATTCAAGTATTTTATTTGAATTAGTTGATTGAAGTAACTTGGTTGCAGTAAACTTCTGTTGAGAAAGAAAAAAACATTTAATATTAGGCCGTATGTTGTTTTATGATATAACAATCTTTTATCTTCCTTTTCTTTTCTTTTTTTTTAATCTTTTATCAAGTACAAAACAAAATATTTAGATTATGCAAGTCAGTATCCACGCCGAAGCGGTATTTTTATTAAGCGCTTGCTGAAGAGAGTCAGGTTTTATATCAAAGAAGCGTCAGTAAAAAAATAAATGAAAACTATGAGCTATTTACATAATCAAAATCTATGAAATCTTAGGTTTGATAAATAATATTTTAAAATTCATCAGACTCATTCATAAAATTGTTTCTGGTACTTAAAGGAGTTTATTTTATGAGTTTTATTTTAGGCATGGTTTT